CGCCCCCCCCCCCCCCCCCCGAAAGCTACCGGGGCCGCTCTGTTGAGCCAGGTCTGCGTGTGATTGTCCCCACTGGTTTCTGAGCCCTAATGGATTGTCCCATCACACCGTAACTCTGCGAGACAGCCTCGCGTTTTATAGATGGGGAAACCGGAGAGGCGGAAGGGTGAACTGACCTGCCCAAGGATAAGCAGCAAGTCAATGGCAGAAGCAAGTGAAAAAGGTCCAGAGGTCCTGCTTCCTCTTCCATACCCATTAGCCTTACTGCCTTCTTATGAAGCAAGTCTTCTGTACACATTCGATAGATATATTAGATTGACTCTCGCTCCCTGGGAAGTTCACTGACTGTGAAATTAGTAAATTACGTAGGCCCGAAGAACTTGGAAAAACAATATAATCCTGGGGGTACTGAAATAATTAATTTGCTAATCAACTACACCTTGCTTTTTAATTTGCAAAGGGTGCTCCGTTTTGTTTCCGATTTCAGTCACCTCAGGAAGAGCAATATTTCAGGAAACATAGCAACCTCCCTCCCAAACCTATTGCCTGGAGTATGGGCAACGTCAGGGAGGTAGCTGTTTCTCAATATACGCGTCTTCATATCTGATATCTTGTCCCTGCCCTGAGCTCCAAATTTCAGGGCATTCTGAGCAAGTAACCTCAAAACAGACAGAAATTCTCCATAATAATTAGCGGTATAAGCTGAACCAGCACTCTGCAGTTGTATGGGCTGTGCTGTCCAGCACAAACAAAACGGATCCTGTGATCTGCCCCAGGAAATGTTGCAGGCCAACTTCCCCAACTAAGCTCAGACGAAGAAAATCAGGTTCTGAGTTTTTTACGATTTTCTGTTTTGTTCTGACTTATCTTCTGGTTTCACTTTGTTGCTGTTGTTTGCACTAAATCATCTCAAATGCAGGGTTTGCCAGAAAAGACAATTAATACAGGGAAGGGGGAAAGTATTACCATCTATTATTTGCCATAACATGAATTTAAACCGGGAAGTCAAATGATAAAATATGTGTTGGAAAGGGTTGAGGAGGGAGTACCTAAATGAGTAATAGCCTTGGGCTTCCGAGCCTTGAACTTAATGTGCTAAGTAAATCCCCGAGGTTAAAAAGTATGAAAATTGTTGCAGCTTGGGGAGATATATTTTAACTTTGCAAAAGGTCCTTGCAAATCCACCATGAGGATTTTAGATAGGTCCGTATGTAGCCCAGCATCCAGAAACTGTGCGTGTGTGTATGCGTCTGTAAGTATATGAAAATTATCAACGTTCAGTCTCTACTATCAGAGTGAGTGCTGGGCTCCCGAGTAAAATAAGCATCAGAATTTTTCTTTAGTATGGTAACAGGGGTGAAGGGAGATATTTGGATACATACGTTTGTATCGCTATAATTGTGTATGTGAGAGAACATGCATCTCTGTATGTTTGTCTGTGTACAGCGTGTGCACACGCACGTACACATGGGAAAGTTAAAAGCAAGTTCTGGGGCTGAGAAATTGCAGAGGCTCACCCTGCCATGTCTGCAAAATGGAAATAGCTAAAAAAAATATACATATACATTTTTAAAAGGAACATTTTCCAGTCGAAATGAATAGTGAGCACTTAGTGAGAGTACAAGCGGTGTCTGGAGAGGGGGAAGCTTTGCAGCCTGACCCCAGGGCTGTATGGGGCTGGAGCGGAGCGGCCCCAGTCTTGTAAGGTGTGTGACAATTGTGTGTGCTTGTGCGAGGCAGTTGATTCCTTTGTGCCACGCATTCATGCCTGGCTCCAACTCTTTCCCTTTAAAACTCTTTCTCCCTATTGAGTTGACCATGCTTCTGAATTTATGAAGAGAGATGTTTTAGCAGAAATCCCCCAGAGTCTCCCATCAGTCCTAAATCCCCAGCCTGCTCTCCCTGGGAGCCCTCATGACACAGAGCATGCCAAACCAGCTTCCTTTTGCCTATGCATTAGCAATCTATTTTACCTTTTTGACATCTCTCACACATAAACCCGTAAGAGAGAAATAAAATATCTGTCTCTGGGCGAAAATAAAGCTTTGCCTCCCTCCTGATCTATAGGATATAAAATAAAGCCCTAGCTCTGATAGTGGCTTTTCCTTATGCTGGAGTTGCTTTTGCACACCCGGAGACAATGAAGATGAATGAGCTGGCATTGGACGCAGCCTCTTGGGGTTGGTTTCACCCTGTGGCTTTATGGTCTCTCGCCACCCCACACCTCTTTCCTTCTTCTCTGCTCTCCTTTATTCGTCTTCTAGCTGCCCTTTCCCTCCCCTGGAAAAACAAACTTGCTTCGCAGGCGCAAGCCGGACACACCTCCCCTCCCTCTCCCCAGCCTTTTAGCTGCTTGGGCATTAGGAAGAAAACAGCCCATCTGTGCCCGAAGTCCAAGGCCGGGAGGTGCCCTGAGCAACGCGGATCTCCCCGAGCTGCGGCCGTGCGCGGGGTGCGGCGGGGCTTTCCCCGGGCACCGTCACGCCGCCCCGGCCTTGCACCGGCTGCGGAGGGGTCTGGACGCGGAGCGGAGGGGAGGGGCGCGCCCGGCTTTCCCCGTCGGGAGGGGGCAAGGCTGGCCCCAGCGGGGCCGGGGGGACAGGGATGCGGGGAGCCCGGCCAATTTGCGCTGCGGGAGGCGCCCTCCGCCTCGGCCC